GGGGTGTGGGAACAGCATTTAAAAGGCGTTCTTAAGAAAATGGGTGGCGAAGAAATCCCAGAGTTCCCCGGTAACTTCTGGTTTTCTGGTCCTCGTTTAATGTTATCTACATACGTTGACGACCTCACTTTGGCAGGCCCACGGGAACACCACCAAAAGTTTTGGTCAGAACTTACGAACGTTGTTAACGTTGAACCACCCGAGCCTATTTACAGAATGCTAGGAAGGAACCACATCTATGCGGTAGTCCCAGATTCAGGAAACACCGAAACCGCTGCTTTGCGCGGTAGTGCTGACGCCCTAATCTTCGACATGAAGGATTACGCACAGCAAACCATCGACCTCTACAAGTCGGTGGCCGGTGTTGAAAAGATAAAGTCAGCCCAGACGCCATTTCTCACAGACGGCACATTCACCACGGCTGATGAGGAGTCGCCCGGAGAGCTCGCACCAAAGGCGTGTTCTATCCTGATGAAAGCCCTCTGGCTTGCTAGGTTAGCACGACCCGACATCCTTAAACCGATCAACGATCTAGCCACTAAAGTACAAAAGTGGACCCGTGTGCACGACAAAAAGTTGCTACGGTTAATACAGTACATTCAACACTCGCTAGACTATAGGTTGACCGCCGTCTGCGGCGATGATCCTAGTGAGCTGTGGCTAGAATTGTTCGTGGATGCCGACTTTGGTGGCGACCAACATGACGTGAAGTCCACCTCCGGTGGGTACTTAGTCCTCAAGGGCCCTAACACCCATTATCCACTAGCATGGGTGTCAAAGCGCCAGACCTCCACGTCAAGATCCACTACAGAATCGGAAGTAGTAAGCTTGGCCTATTCGTTGTATCAAGAAGGTCTCCCTTCATTGCAACTATGGGATAAACTTCTTGGACGAGCCGTTAACCTTGTCATACAAGAAGACAATCAAGCCACGATTCTGGTAGTAAGAAAGGGTTTTCCCCCAAAGCTCCGACACATCAGCCGAACACATAAGATAAACCTCAGTTCAATAAAAGAATGCATCGACGACCCATCTGTCGAGATTAAGTACATCGATACGAATGAACAAGCTGCGGACATTTTCACCAAAGCGTTGCCACCACAAAAGTGGTTCAAAGCGCTATGCCTGCTTGGCATCCGTACGGATTTAACGTGCTTAGTCCCATCTAAGACAGATAGGAGCCTTCCAAGCAGTTCGAAGCCTTCGTAGGTCGTCGAAACCGCCGCCGCCCGGCGCGGTAATTCGTGCATGTACAAAGTGTAGCTGCCCCACATCGGGGAGGGGGGAGTCATTTTTTGAGGACCCCTAGTATGTAACAGCTATTCACTACTTGTACATGTCTATCTATTTAGCTACGGTTCACAGGATGTCACAAACGTGTACGTCCAACCGTCACAATTTGGCTCAAGGAAAAGGTGCACTTCCGCTGCCCTTTTCCGCAGGGTGCCGTGCACACTGGACGGTGTCTGGGTGCACTTTCGCTTCGCTCTCGTGCCCTGCATTTCGTGCCTTTCGTGCTTTCGTTCGTTCGCCTGCACTTCGTAACCACGGGTACTCGTCCTTCGGACTCCCCCCGGGTAATAAAAAACATAGACCGTGCTTCCAGGGATCTAGCTTACTTCTTTTATCACTTACCTGTTGATAGGATAAGCTGGGCGTTCCGCTACGTCCCACCTGGATTGTACACTCAATTGTAGTATAAGTGATGATGTGATGGACGAGGATGAGACGGAGGGGAGGGAGGAGGTGTGTGTGTGGTAAGATGGCGTGCGTGTGTGTGTGTGGGTGTGTGATAAAGGGTCTGAGGATGTGAGATGAACAAGGATGAGAGGGACGAGAGAGAGAGAGAGAAAGAGAGAGAGAGAGAGAGAGAGAGAGAGAAGGAGGCGGAGAGAGAAGTTTGGAGGCTCTGGATTTTGCGATCAGATCCGCATGAGACCTTCACAGATGTTGGCCAGATCCGCATCAGATCCGCAAATGCAATCGGCGTTTCACAGATGTTGAAAAGAAACGCGTCATGAAACCATGTAAGTAAGTGAATCAAAACATGTCTGCTGCAACCACGTGAGTTTTTGTGATGACAACCATGGCCAGAGAACTTTCAAAACAAGATTCAGAACAGTCGTGCAGGCTAAACTAGAGAACTGCAAATCACAATGGCAGTAGCGCAGAGACAGGCTTCACCAACACCCTCGCCGCAGCATTTAGAATGCGATTCGCAGGCATTGATTGCCCTGGCTGTGCAAATCACAATGGCAGTAGCGCACAAACACACTCTGCCAACTTCCGTGCCGCAGCCATTACAATGCGATTCCGAACCAGTGAGAACCCTTGCTGCGGAAATCACAATGGCAGTAGCGCGCAGAGACATGTTGCAAACATCCGTGCCGCAGCCATTACAATGCGATTCCGAACCAGTGAGAACCCTTGCTGCGCAAATCACAATGGCAGTAGCGCACAATCACAATGGCAGCCCCTTCTGGAGGCTCTGGATACTGCGCCTGCCACGCGGAAGGCAGCCAGCGGCACCAGCGGCGACAACGCGCGCCACAGCCCCTTCTGGAGGCTCTGGGTACTGCGCCTGCCACAAAGACAGCAAGCGGCGCCAGCGGCGACAACGCGCGCCGCAGCCCCTTCTGGAGGCTCTGGGTACTGCCCCTGCCACGAGGAAGACAGCAAGCGGCACGAGCGGCGACAACGCGCGCCGCAGCCCCTTCTGAAGGCTCTGGGTACTGCGCCTGCCACGAGGACAGCCAGCGGCACCAGCGGCGACAACGCGCGCCGCAGCCCCTTCTGCGACAACGCGCGCCGCAGCCCCTTCTGGAGGCTCTGGGTACTGCGCCTGCCACGAGGAAGACAGCAAGCGGCACCAGCGGCGACAACGCGCGCCGCAGCCCCTTCTGGAGGCTGTGGATACTGCGCCTGCCACGAGGAAGACAGCAAGCGGCACCAGCGGCGACAACGCGCGCCGCAGCCCCTTCTGGAGGCTCTGGGTACTGCGCCTGCCACGAAGACAGCAAGCGGCACCAGCGGTGACAACGCGCGCCGCAGCCCCTTCTAGAGGCTCTGGATACTGCGCCTGCCACGCGGAATGTTGAGATGATATGAGTGGGAAAGGTGAAGAGGATGAGGATGGTGATCTGTTGAGATGATATGAGTGGGAGAGGTGAAGAGGATGATGTGGAGCTGTATGTGTGTGAGGGTGGTGGTATGTACATGTGAACAGGATGATATGATGACAAGATGAGTGTGTGTGTGAGATGATGAGATGATTGTGTGTGTGAATGTGAGATGTGAGATGACAAGATGAGTGTGTGTGTGTGTGAGATGATGAGATGACAAGCTGAGTGTGTGTCAGATGATCACAAGATGATTGTTGATTGTGTGTGTAACAGAAGGACGGAGGTAAGGAGGGAGGGACGGACGGACGGAGGGAGGCAAGGACGGAGTCGGGCGGGATGGCAGCCAAAAAACTAGAACCCCACACAGAGATGTGGGGAAATATACATATATTTACATATATTTATTAAAGTAGTTTAGCCTCTAAAAAGTTTCTTGAAACATTCGGTGCGGAGACAGGTCACGTTGGAGAAGCCACATTTTCCCACGGAGGAAGAAAAGACCCTGGAGTGCCTCCGATTGTTTTATGATGCCCGTTCAACCGGATGTTCAACACGCTTGGCCCAAGGTACTGGCGCAAGATTGATGCCTTCCAAGAGTCTTTGAGACAATCCAAGGGGAAGCTGCACCCTCAAGGAATCGCAGCACAGAGTACCAATTAGTGGTGCATTCAAGTTGCGACTGAGGCCGGCATACAATTTCTACGACGGTCCGCCGTTTGCAACTGGCTTACCCCACTATGGGCACATTCTGGCTGGCACCATCAAGGTGTGCGCTATATTTATGGATGAAGGTCACGAACACGCTTACATAAGGTTTTTGCACAGTGACAAATGGGTGGACAGTGTCTTTTATATAAATCTTTGCAAGTTAATGGGACAGATGTTCTTCCTGTACTTTGCTCCAGGATGTTGTTACCAGATATGCGCATCAAAGAGGCTTCCATGTAGAGAGAAGGCAGGAGATTTGCAGATCCTACCTTAAAACTCTGCATTGATCCTCGGACAATGTTTGACAGATTCATCAGAATAATTTCTTTGAGTCTTAGAATTCTCAGAGCATGCCGTGAACTCCCCAGCATTTACCGTTTTCAAGCAGCGCCTGCTGCTGGTGCATTTACAGAGAACAGTTACAGTATCTGCCAGAAACCACATTTGGCACTTTTCTACATTCTACAGACTCAGACACCCATGTATACCATGATCTCATGCCAATATTTTGGTTCGTGGACACACACATATATATATATATAAACACATATGAGTTACAATCTAGGCAAATGAGAAACATCACGAGACATCAAAGCTTATTGGTCCCATGGCATTGGAGCTTATTCCTTACAAGGATGAGAAGCAGACACTTGGTCCATGATGTCTATGGGGTGAGGTCTTTGCAATTGAGATGAAAGGGATTTCTTGAAAGCATGGAGGCCAGAGGCCATCGCAACGAAAGCAGCGAGAGCGATTGTCGCTAAGGGACTTTTCAGCCACGGGGGCCAAAGCTGGGGCATTGTGCAGCACTACTCATGTCGACTGCCACTTGGTCATACCTGTCCAAACCTCAGGACTTTGGCTTCTTCGGCTTATGCCGAACATAGCACTTTGAGCTGAAAGCCTTTCAGTTCTGTCATTTTTCAGTCTTTGTTGCTGAATCATGATCAGCTTTCAACTTCAAGAAAAGGGATGCATCGATTATTTGCACTTTGAGGGCACGCAGGAAGTCTTGACGCTGCCACTTCAAATTTGCACCAAGATTCAGGCGCAAAACAAAGGGAACCACGCCACGTCGATAAGTTGATGAAAGTCGACACCGTCATTGATGATCTTTTGTAACCGTTGAACTTCAACTTCACTCAGGAATTGAAGCATGCTTTGCCGGACACTAAAGACACCTTGTGTTTTTCAGGTTCTTTCATATCTGGTTCCCGATGTTTCCTGTTTTCCAATTGGGATTGAGGTCTGCAAAACTTGGCTACATAGAGCACAGCGAGATCAGTTTTGTAGTCAAGCAGGGCTGCACCTACAAGCGTTTACAGGAATCTGACCAGGCGTGAAGATACACAGGGCTTGAAAGACCTGGCATGAATCAATGATATCGCTAGGAGTAGCAAAGGGCATCACTACTAGGAACCCGGGCATCGCTACCAGGAGCAAGAATGCTACTAGTAGCGATGCCAGGAGCCCCTAGTAGCGTCCTCTACCCCCTCCCCCGCGCGCGCGCGCGCGCGCGGGCGCAAGGGCTTCTTGTTCTACTTCTAATTACTGTAAGTTTAAATTCTAATTCTAATCCTTGTTTCTAATAGCTTCTTGTTGCTAGTAGTAAGGCCAGGAGCCCCTAGTAGCGTCCTTGCTCCTAGTAGCGATGCCAGGAGCCCCTAGTAGCGTCGTGTTCACCTGCCAAAGGTGATGAAGAGAATGTCGGTGCACGGGATCAAGTCTTTCAGACCCCCGCGGCATAGATATCCACATCCATATGGAATTATTGGTGTGCCACAGCTGAAACTGGAAAGCTGGAAGAAGGAGCTTGGAAGCCTTTTGCCGTTTGGGTTGACTTACCTAAGGCTGGCTACAACGGCATCAAGACAGCATTGTTTTTGCTGAGAGCTTCTTGCCTTGATTACATTGATGCGTTATCTGCACAAGTGGCTTGTGTCAGAAAATCACAAATTGTTGCATTTTGAGGACAATCAGAAAGACTTTACCATTTTCGATCGCTATGACAAGGTGGGAAATTTCTTCTTGACAGCGACGCACCGGTGAGGTGTTTCGGCAAATCACAGGTCGGTGGCCACGCCTGGCTGGAAAGTGCGAACAAAACAACCAGGTGCCAAAGGGTGAACCAATTGCTTTTTGTGTAAGAAACAGTCAGTTTCTTTTAAGATCCCTCTCCCCCCCTCCCTACTTAATTAAGTAGGCGCCTACTTTTCATATTGGAGTTTTTGCAATTCTCCAGAGGCTGCAAACTGAGTTTGCGACCTACCATATTTGGTATGGTCAGGACAGAAAATGCTACCCTTCGTCTTCGCTTTTGGACTAGTCAGAGAAGAGAACTAGACTTTTTGACTTGCTTGGACTCCTGCAGGACTTCTCTTACCCTGGCATTGAAAAGTGTGGAGGGCCCCCAGTGGTCCTGTCCTTGGAGTTGGACATATCAATATCCTTAAGTTTCCCAACCAAAATCGAGCCAAATCATTGGCACGAGCTATCCCGCGTCCAGTTCCTAGTAGCCGCAAGCTACTAGCTACCTAGCGACCTCCGCGGCCTACCCCCCGGCTAAAAAGAGAAACAACAGAAAAAAAGAGCTACCACTAGCTTCCTCTCAAGAGTTTGTGAGCTCTTCCAGTCACAGCCGAGTTCGAGGATTGGGAAGTTTGGCCAAGCAGAGATCGCGTCATTGAGCACTTCGAGCTGTGTGCTCGAGACGGGGTTTTCAGTGAGAAATACAAAGATGTCAATGCGCTCCATGCTTCACGCTTGCGTGTTGAGCAAACCTTCAACTATGACTCATGACTGCATTTTGGAAGGAATATGGCATATACGCGCATTGCCAATTGAGTGTGGACGTGGAGCGCAGATGGAATCGCTAATCGAAGCATGAGCTTTTCAAAGTTCCACAGTTTTGCTGCTTCATTGTGGCAGGAGTCCGTCGATCTGATTGGCAGGGAAAAGAAGGATGACCGAGCGTTCCAGCTAAGCTGCCGCCCGGTTCCTTGGAGGAGAACAAGGCAAACGCAAAGAGACATGCAATGCTGACTTGGCGCTGTTCACTTGAAGACTCGACCTTTCGGAGCTCAGGTTCTGCCACATCGCAAGGAGTGCTCAAGCATTCAAATTCCATAAACCGTAAACCAATGTTTCTTTTTCCGGAAGTTCACTGAAATAGGACAAGCCCATTTCCCTTGTTGTGAACAGGACTGCCAAGGAGGCGAAAAGCTAGATCACCAGGAACAAGCCACAGAAGCTGGGCTTCTTGGATGCAAACACGCCATTGCAGTGCATCCTCTTTGCAGTGCTGGCGAGGTATGCAGGGGCCTTCCGGACGGACAAAAGCCGAAAGTCTTTTGTCTTTACCTGTTCCTGCTACTGCATTTGGCCTGGAAATTTGATCAACCCACGGCAAATTCAATATGTTGGAGAGGCCAGGGCAGACGAGCAGACGGCAGAGCTGTGAAGCTTAGCACATGAACTACATCAATCATGCCAGCCTGAGTCAGCCTGTGCTTTAAACCTGTGTCATAGCTACTAATGCTAATTCTTGCTACTGGTAGTGCTACTTACCAGTAAGCTATAGTAAGCTATGGTAAGTCACTAAGCTGCAGCTACACACTTCAGCTCCTCCGCCCCCCAAGTCTCGGGCTAAACAGAAACATCTTCACCTAAGCTGTCAAGCTGAAGTGCTGTGCTCTTTTTCCTTGTTCCCTTTGCAGGAGCTCTTCGATGGATTCATCGAGTATGGTGTTGAGATGAGGTGCGACTACCAGAACGTGGTGGGGAAAAATGTCATCATCCATGGGCATGGTGCCTTTACGATGGAGCTGCCCGGCTATGATTGCAGCTTTTGCTACTCGAAAGCTTCAATCCCTGGAAACCAATCATTTTGTAAAGATGGTACCTCATTTGCTGCCTTCGACGCGGACTCTTGCGACAATGTTCAAGAGAGCTTGACTGACCGCAACGCTGGGAAGATATTGAACATGCAAATGGTCTTTGCTGCCAACTGGAGAACATTGGACACGCTCTACTGCTCTACTTTGAAACGTCGAATTCAGGTGTGAATGCGCGAAAAAAGATCTTCGCTGCACAAAGACCTGCAAAACGTTCTGAACAAATCTTAAAATCTTTGCCACAACCACAGACAGGCGGACGCGATTGCGGACAGAAGATGACTTGTGAAACATGAGGAGGGCTTTGAGTTTGTTCACTGATCAATCCAAAGTCACCGTGACGACCAAGGAACATCCGTACCTGCTGTGAATATGGTATGAAGCACATATACCTCGTTTGCCGAAAGCGGAATCTAACCTGCCCAAGAGTGGTCTCCTGGTTCATCAACCAGGCTGTCCACTTGTTGAGTGAGGATGTGGCAGCCAGTGTGACAAATATTCGAATATATTGTTTAGACTTGTTCAGAAATGCAAACTCGCCATCAAACAGTAGCTCCTAGTTTGGGTAGAATTGTCTATCTTTTTCCTAGACATCTCACAGTGCTTTGCTGTGAATGACAGGCGAGCCCACCAGTTACTGGAGCTCATTGCTTGAATCTTCTCAAGGTGGCATACAGGCTTTGCAGCTTGACTCCGGAGTGTATTCATGGTAAAGCATGTCACATTTTTGAATGACACTGGGTATTGCTTTTTATATGTAGAATTTGCTTTTCAGCTCGTTTTCACGTTGAAGATGTTGACATGGGAAGGCCATTGCTCGGGCTGAGGTGGCTATGATCCGTGGGACATGCATTCTGTGAGTTGCAACGCTGCACGGACAAATGCTTCTTTTGCTCAGAAGACACGCTTCGGTATCGGAGACGTGTACTTCTTGGCTGCTGCATATGGATTGATGGAAGTTGTGGTGGACAACATCAAGAGGTGTAGCTCCAGAACAGTTCATTTGGAAAGCGGAAGGAAGCTGCAAGACGTCGATGTGATCTTGAAATGCGTGGGCATGCTACCAGACTCTACAGTAGACAAGGTCAACAAGATGAAGTTCTTGCGAGGCTGCTGGATCAACGGTGATCCCCGTCGTTTTACGGTCTCTGACCCGGACGGAATTTATGCCGCCAACTTTGCAGCAACGACCATTGGCCCAGGAGACCAGGGATTTTTTGTTTGCTTGAGCACTCTTCAGTCCTGGCAAACACTTGCTGTTGTCTCCGAAGTGTAACGGGCTGTGACACTAGCAACCTCCCTGCCCCTTGATCCTCGAGTGGGAACGGGTACTGAAGGCTTGAGAAAAGGACTAAAGATGTACTATGAAATACTGAAGCTAGCAGAGAGACACCCCAAGGCACCACGCAGAGTAAGACAAACACTTAGAATACAAGCTCAAGTGAATGAACATAACTTCAGACACTGAATCAACGAGTGCAGTAACCGCTCAGTAGCCCTTTAAGATTTGTGCAATTAGACCTTGGCTGAGTAAAACGGAAAGGTGAATGAGTCCGCTCTCAACTGAAAGGTTTCAACACGCGGGCAGAAAACCGCTGCAAAGGCTGGAAGAAATTGTTCTAGTTATATAAAAGCAGGGACCAACAGCATGTGACCCACCAGCTGCACTTATATAGATGCCCAGGTGCGGTCAAAAGTAGGTACGTTTGCAGAAACACTGCGTGAGCATCTTCGTTGGCTCTCGTCTCACGCAGGCTCCAAGAGCCCCCTGCTGACTAAAAGTTCGATGGTTAGAATGTTCAAAGGGTGTGGTGTGAGGCCCTTTGGGACAGGGGTTGACACACAGACACACACACACACATGAAGCCCTGCACAATCGTTTGATGTTCTAAAATGAACACATGGTTCATTTACCGTGGCGACTTGCAGCACGAACCCGTGCTTGATTTGATTCCAGTGTCAAATGTAGAACATACATCGGAAATCATTAATGAAGGCCTGAACGGGATGTCATGTTGTGTGCAGGAAGCGACTGAGGCTCAAGGTCCAGAAGCTTGCTGAGTTTGTTTCAATTTTTGCTTGGATACAAGCTGGCGGGGCCAACTGCCAAGGACTTTTGCCGCGTGAATCCGATGGATCATAGGCTGTTTGCTTGGTGAAGGTTGTGGGGAAAAAGCTGCACCTCTGACTGTGGGAATCGGGTGCTTTCTGTCTGTGCACGCAGTCCGCTTGCTTGGCTGTACATCCAGAACCCCCTCAAATTGAGCTCGTGAAGTAATTACCATACAATGTTCAGATTTCATGGCGGGAGAGGAAAGTTCGGGGAAAGGCGTCGGCCAGCGTCACCTCCTCCCCGGATTTGTTTGGGACACAAAGTAAGGAACTCTCCATGTTCTGAATTTTCTGTTCTGACTTAAGAGGTCATACGGGTGACTGGACAAATTCAAGAACTTAACTTATTCTTGAACTTATTCTTGTGAAGATTTCTTTCAAACGGACTTCAGAATCAGTTTGCTTGCAATTGAGTCAAAACTCTCAGGAGATATAATATCAATAATTCTCCTGAGCCCAAAGTTTGCAATTTGACAGTCAAGTTCAATCTTCTGGTGATTTAGTTTACTTTCAGACAAAGTGCGTACTGTAATGTTTTTTCCGCAAACAGTGTGTACACACTTAGGGGTTCTTACGGTAGGTGTTAAGCAGGGCGTGTGCGGCTATTTCGCCGCTAATTACAGTACATTCACGCCTCTCGCACTCCACACTCACACTCTCTCCCTCTCCCCCTCGCTCTCCCTCTCACTCACGCTCTCACTCACACTCACACTCACTCACTCACCACCACCGTCACCGTCACCACGATTCCCGCCTTCATAACCACCATCACCTCTCTGGGCCCCAATGCGAGTAGATCTCTACACTACACTTATGACTTGCTGCTTATAGACCTCACACACACACACACTGTTTGGGGTCTCTTGCCGGGATAATTTTTTCTGGAGGACTAAACTCTGTGAACGCGATAATCCTCCAGACAAATTGAATAGCTTTTTTTTGACCATGAACACCAGGGAATGAGATACACATTATTTGCGACAGGTAGACTATTTAATGGCCCAGTTAGTGCAAATTCCTTACCTTCATTGCACGTGTTGAGTTCTTCAGCCCTCCAGATTGAATCAAACATCCGGCGAACCGAACAGAGTGCTCCTAGACCAACAGATTAGATCGTGGAAAGCACGCACGTTGCCAGGGGTGAGGAAGCTCTCTTCAGATTTGGACTAGTGCACGCGTAGTTTCAGGCCACATTGCGGCAAAATGCACCTCTTGAGGATTTGGTCTAACTGAGGTTCGTTCACTTTGTCATTTTGTCACTCTGTTAGTTTCCCTGAAAGTCAACCAAATGATTAGTGCAAGAACAACAAGCTATAACAGGAGCATACAACTGGGTCCAGCTGATGAAGCACGTTTGGGATTGCCCCAATGAGTGGATTCAGTTGGATGAAGCGGGCCACCTCAATCTGCCTGAGCACTATGCCGGTGATCCGGACCCAGACACACCCGCGTATTTCATCAACGCCAGGCCCCTTGACCCAATGTGACTGTCGCCCTTGAGTTCTGGATTCTGAATTTTGAGAGATTGTTAAAGTATTCTAAGGATTTAGAATGAACATTTCTTCGAACACGTTTCGAAGGGATCTTGAGAATTCTTCGCGTTGTGCCAATATGAGCGGCACCCAAGTCTTGGAACCAAAGGCACTCGGTGGGCACGATGTTCACCTACTCGATCGTGAGTCCTGCCTACAGAGAAATGACTACCCACTTTGATACGTTTCTCGGCGGCATGGGATCGTCGCCACATGGGCTTATTTAGGTTTAGCTCAATGAAGCGCACGGGTCTCAGAATATTTGGCAAAGCTCCGAAAAAGCTAGTTGCTCCATCAAAGGTTGTCTTTTGCCAACATCATGAAGAACAGCTGATTGTATGTCCTCCCCTGAATAATGGAGCACCCTCTCAAGCTACAGTTTTTTCTACTTGCTTGCCATTATCTTGTCCATCTCTGATTACTTTTTGCCTCTTGAGTAGGGCAAACTGTCTTTCTTGAGTTGGATTTTCTCTGCATCGTTGGGTGAAGTGGACAGTTGCATTTGAGGTACAAGCATTTCATTGTCGCGGCCTTAAAGCTCAGCTTTAGACCATATTTTCTGGAAAAACATGACGCGAGCAGCTGAGCAATCCTGCTGAAGCAATTGTTGCTGCTTGGCCTTTGAGCCTCTTGAGCCCAAAGGCCCATCATTGCTGTCCTGTTGACAAGCTCCTTACAGCTGCGCTGGCTGAATGGAACGAGTATGAGAGATCTTGGAGGCATCCGTTTCCGTTAATGTGTTGTTATGCAGTAGACTGGTAGACTCTGGTAGACTTCGCACGTGTGCTGATTGCAGGGAGAAGGGTATGGTTCCAAAGGATGCTCCATACATACCGTCCTTGGTCAGCATTTACAGTATTTGCTCTAGGTCAAATTCAAGGTTTCAGCAGACGCTTTTGGAATCTTTTGGAAGCGTTTTTGGACCTAGGTATCCCTACACCAAGGAGTACATTGCGGAGCAGCATGAGGCCAGCAAAGAGGTACGCCAGTTTTGACCTTTCCAGAGATTCTACCAGGTTCATCAAGCAGAAACTGGTCAAGTGGAACGGAGTTTGGCGATTCAGAGGAGCCAGGGGTACTAAAGGAAGAAGTGGCAGAAGTTGTTTGGTGAAACTCAATCCGAGCTCAAATGTTTGCAGGAGCGGATAAAACCACAAAAGAGTGATACGAAGAAAGAGCCGTGCGCTTTGGAAAAAACTTTGTTCTGTTTGGGACCTTTTGAGTGGACGTCTCGATCTTACAAAGAGCTCATCACGTTGGACTTGGACATGGATTCACCTAGAGGTTCCTGGCGGGCAGGTTTGGTTGGGACTGCCATGGGCTTCCTGTCGAGTACGAAATCGACAAGAAGCTCAATATCAAGGCGGACCAGCTCACCGGGCTTTTCTAGTTCCGGGATCTGCTGGCTTTGTGCTGAGCCAGGGACATCATGACGTGCTTAAGCTGGGCATCGGCAAATACAATGAGGAGTGCAGAGGAATTGCCAGATACCCAGTGACATCTACACTTTTTGTGCTTATCGCCATTCGTGGACAGGAAGGTGTGTGTCTTGGCATGTGTCAAAATTCTAGCCCAAAAATCTAGGAACCAAATCATGAGTGTGAGGGCTCCTTCAAGTAAGCTCCCGCTGCCCCCAGGCGGGGGGAGCTTCCTTGAAGAAGCATGAGCTATCCTGCGTCCAGTCACTAGAAGCTTGAGTATTGCTAGCGAACTAGTCGCCCTTACTTAATTAAGTAGGAGGTCGGCCCCCCAAAAAAACAATTGTTGGGATTCATTGAGGGAACGTAGACCTGTCACTTCTTTTCGCTTGTCACGTGTCACGTCGATGTCACCGGTCCGTTTTCACAGCTCAAGGTTCAGAGATTCACCTCTGAGTGGAGGCGCATCGTGGAACGATTTGGGTTCGGACCTTATTAGCTTATTTGTTGTCCGAACCAACACATGGATTGTCTTTGCTTTTGTGATGACGATTTTGAAGTCTTTTTCCCTCGTGATCCAAATTGAGGTGAAGGTGTGAAGGTATTTTATAATTTGCTATCCTGTGTTGAACTAGGGTTTTGCTCTCTGGCAGATTGTTGTGAGGCGCTGGATAGATTTTGACAATGACTACAAGACCATGGACAGAAGCTTTATGGAGAGGTGCCCACAGACATTGACAATTATGCCTTGAGACATATGTATCTATGTATCTATAGCACCTTCAGTTCAAGACCAGCTTTGCATAGCAAGGCAGCAAGATACAGCAAGGATACTGGAGCAAAGGGTCAACCCTGAAGTGATGACTGAAACATTCAGTGAACCTGTACCTCTTTGATCATTTGCCAGCTGCTGGTGGGTCTTCAAGCAGCTCTACGACAAGGGGCTTGTCTACAGGACGCTCCAAGTCTTCTGGAGACAAGACTTGAATCTAGCTGGGAGCGTAGAGTGAGTAGAGCTTGGTTGGAGTTTGTCCATGATGCGAACTTCTGGCATCTTCTAATTTGACAACACCTGTAGCTCAAATCCAAATCAACAACCAAAAGGCAAGCTCTTTGAGTCCTTTTTATACAGGTACATAGGATGCTTTTGTTGACAATCATATTTCATCTGCAGGGCTTTCAGAGTGATGCCCTACAGCACTGCCTGCACAACGCCGCTCTCCAACTTTGAGGTGGATATTCTGCAACAAAGTGCTTCAAAAACCAAACTTCTCCACTGTCTTGTTGATGGATACTCAAACACTAGCACTGACTATCCACTACTGCAGGTGTCACAAAACTACAAGGAGGTGTCCGACCCCTCCATCATTGTCCAATTCCGGCTTGCATCTCAGTACACATTATGCTCTTTGCAACCTAGAATCTAGAAGTTAACATCAAAATTCAAGAGCTTTGCATTTGCGAGGCTCGTGGATGAGGAGATTCCTCTCACTTTTGCACCGTATTTGCTTGATTTGATTGTGCTATCAGATCAGGTGACGGTTGAGGGTTTCTGCAACTTGCTGGCGACTTTGTTGTTCTGGGGACAGATTCTTTTGCAGGAAAACTCCTACGTGCTTGCCTGGACAACGACACCTTGGACCCTGCCTTCAAACTTGGCCTTGTGTGTCAACCCTGAGTTGAAGTGCCCCCATTTGACGGTACCGTACCGTACCGTACTGATTTAATTATATAATATTATATATACAGTAGACACTTTAAAATATGGGATGCCAAAGATTCAGAATGCGCACCACAACGTGTAAAAGACATTTTCAGCAGAATAGCTCTCGCACAGGTACCTTCAGGTTCAAAGCAAAGCCACTGGTACGAAATGGATTGTCGGGAAGGACCCTGCAGCGGGACTTGTCGAAATGGAGTATCCGGCACTTTATTTACGGCTGGCTCAAGGGAGTGTGTCCTGACAAAGGTGATGCACTCCTTCAGGACAGATGGCCATGGATATGCTCTTCAATCAAGAAAAATGGAGAGAAGGCCAGCATCGGCTGAGGCAAATGGAGACGAGAAGTGCTCAGCGCGATGTCTTTGACCAGTCATCGGATTAATCGCTTGTTGTTGCCTTGAAGGACTTTACAGTTTTGTGGGAGAAGAAGGCCGGGTTTTTCTCAGCTACCAAACCAGCACAAAATCCAAGTGCTTGTCTTTGGCAAAGTCAAGTCGATAGGGATCGGAGCTCAAGGGCATCAAGTACGAGCCTCTCTTTGACTTTTTCAGGGGGAAGGCTGCGAAGCCAAGCATGGACGATATTCTGCGTGTTTTGGGATGCGGAATACATGTTGCTACAGACTTTCAGGCGCTCGGATCAGCATGGCAGATCTTGACTGACAACTATGTCTCCACAGAGGCTTTTGTGATGGAAGGTTGAAAGCATACTCAGATCTAAGCAGTCAGGCTGGCACCTGTATCGTTCATCAAGCACCAGCTTTTGGAGAGGACTTTCTTGTCACTCCGATAGGGCATTACTACTAGTAGCTAGAAGCTATTAGGTCGGAGGCCATCGCAAGTAGGTTGGAGGCCGTCGCTACTAGTAACAGTAGGAAGTGAGTTGGCAGAGTTTCAGTGAGCTGTCCGGCTCAAGGACGACAATCGGGTTTGCCTTGCAGCCGGAATCATCCAGAAGGCACCAAGTGCAACAGCTCGCATGTCTTCGTGTACTGTTCACACACCAGGATGGTACCGGCATGGTCCATCCAATCGACGACAGTGGCTGCTTCACCAAGGAGGCTGGCTTCGTATTGATCTAGACAGGATTCAATGTCTAGACTGACCAGTGACCCTGGCTGCGCTTTAGTGGCTACATTCTTGAGACAGGTTCCAGACTTCCTTGGTCAACATGTCAAAGCCGCTGACAAAGACATCAAGGTGAGACTTCTGCTGTCGATTCGAGGGCGTGCAAGCTCAAGCAAGAATGCTACTAGTAGCGATGCCAGGAGCCCCTAGTAGCGTCCGATCGCTCCTCGCTCTAGGAGAAGCTAAAGAAGGAAAACAAGTTGGTCTTCAATGGCACCGAGGCACCGAGAAGGAACTGAAGAAACTGAAGGAAGGAACAATAGGCGGTAAACATTGAACGCTCAGAGGTAAATTTTGTGATCAATAGGATTTAAAGTGATCATAAATGGTTGGGTATACCTCCACACACATTTGAGATGGCAAGATGCAGAGAAGAACCCCCCAATGTCTCCACCTGCAGTCCATCCAAGCCCCAAGCACCCCGTAGCACATGCTCGAAAACTCTCTCACTAGAAATGATTCCTGACACCCCAAGGCCTTTGCTGCACTGCAAGTTTTTGTTGTTGCCTTTTCAATATTCTCAGCCCAGTGGCGGGCTTCGCTGGTGCCTTTCTATGTACAACAGCTACAATGCATGCCTGGTCAACGGCCCGTTTTTGATTTGGAGCTGACTTCATTGAAGGGATTGAAGGTGTCCAATTCCACTTGCTATCAAAGGCTGTCATAAAAATATAATATAAAGGTAAATCCAGGCACCCTGCCTCTTTGCTTCTTCGGTGGTAAGAAAACCCGTACATGCAATCGAGACCTATGCTTTGAACATGCATTCCAAGCTAATTTTTTCAGCATTCAAAGCCAACAAGTTTTCGTGATGCAAAGCATCTACTGTTGAATCACCAGCACTACTTGAGTATCGGAAGCACCAGGTGCACAACTATCCGCACTGCTGGCGTTCTGATACGCCATTAATTTACAGAGCAGAGAGCTGAGGTGCAAGCATATCAGTGTTTAGCCAGGTACTCGTAGCTACTTGCTCCTAGTAGTACGGCCAGGAGCCCCTAGTAGCGTCCTCCAGGAGCCCCTAGTGAGTGCAGATCTTTTACATCAGTTCTGCCAGGTTAGCAGAGTAGAAGGACTGGTTTCCATGCTTGATGCAGCTGGATGTAGCCAAGGCCATCCCCAGCTGGTTCATCAAGGTGGAAGAGGCCCGTGAGAAATTGATCGCCAACAACAACCAGACGCTCCTTGGCCCAAGCTGCATGACTCATTCATTTCTTCATTTTCTGCGCTTCAAAAAGGACTTATGATGATTGATGTGTTCTTTTTCTTTTAAGTATCCATGAATGTGGTGTACATGCTACACTGCTATGCTGTGTACGGTCTGCGGACTCGCTGCCGCTCATGGACAGCCAGCTTTCGGACTGGCTAAGGTACTGGGTCCCAAGCTTCGTGAAAGAAAAACGCTTCCACAATTGGCTGACAGAGGCGGGGTACCATAGCCTGACAGCATGAGCGCGAAGCAGCCAGGATTAGTGTCACACTGATGATACAAGATAACCGATGTCTTCAGCACAAGGGTCTGAATATGAGAGATGTGAGGTGAGTCTCATTTTGGAAACGGAAAGGCCTTTCTGTCTAAGGTATGATCCTTCTGACTATTTCAAAGACCTCAGAATGCGTACCTTACTCCTCTCTGCACAAGTGGTAAGCAAAAAACCATGCAACGTGCTCAAATCGACCTTCATGCAACTTTCACTTCGAGCTGCTGAGGCCAGGGACTGGTGTGTCTCACGAAATCGCTACTGGGGGACGTCACTTGTCAACTGCAAAACTTGTCCTTTTGTTCTCATCACCATTAGGAGCAAGGACGCTACTAGGGGCTCGTGGCCTTACTACTAGGAGCAAGAAGCTACTAGGAACAAAGGGCATTGCTACTAGGAGCAAGGACGCTATTAGGTTGGAGGCCATCGCTAGTAGGCACTTGATCTTCACATTCGTACTCCCAGAGATTCAGTCGTTTGAGCTCGTTGAGCCAAGGCCGATCCCTCTTTGGGTCTCCTCTGATTTTGAGGAGGTGGGTTGCTGTTAGGGTACTGATTGGCAAAGGGGTATAGTGAAGCTCGCACTCTCAACCCATGGTTTGGAATATTTTTTGCTGACCGTGGTTATTGTAACTCTCCTTTTTGTCAGACACTTCACATGGAAGCGGGATGAAAAGGGAGCACAAGGATCTAACGAATGCACGAGAAGTAGGCTTGGTGTCACTGAATCAAGTGCGAAAATTTGTAAAACAATTGCAGGTTGTTTGCATTGGCAGCGTTGCCGAGCTTGAACAGTTTGCTGGAAGAGAGATCAAGGTGCGATGTGACTCCACAAGTCCTTGCTTTGGCTTTGGAACCGAGCTGTAGACACGAATAGCCTACGGCTTATGCCATTCTGAGACCCCAATCTGTGAACCGTGGCGTCAGTCTCTCGAGGACCTCCATAGGCACTTCATTGATGACATCCAGCGCCATCGACACCATTTGCGCTGACTTATGACTCAGATGCTGACTGTGCAACAAAGCGCTGGACAACATTCAATCAGCTAAAGAATTGCATCTCAGGGGTTTGTTTGAAGACGCACCAAGCACTTTCTCTGCAATGGAACCGATGTGAGTGCCACTTTCATGTCAGGATTCCTTCTCAGAAGGGCAAGGGTATGCTCAAGCGGGTGGACGAGGCATGAATGTTCATAAAACGACAGTCTGAGTTTAGGAGCCCCTAGTAGCGTCCTTGCTCCTGTTGCTTTTGAGTTGGACCTTTTTTGCTTATGCGATGTATGCAGCCGATATCTCAAGACAACTTCGTCATGGCCCTTCGCCGGACACTTTGCGCTTTGCTAGTCACTGCCACTGCCCATGGCCCCGGCCAGACGGATGGTCCAAGATATAAACCAGAGATGATGGACTTTCCTGGATGCTCTTCCTCAAGTTATGTTTATTAATGTTTATTTGTGTATTTACCTTTTGGAGGTAGGCCGGGAAGTGGAGAGCTAACAAGCAGCTAGTAAGGGGTATATAGTAGGTAGTGGCCATTAAGTCAGGCCGCTACTAAAGAGGGAAGCAGAAAAGCTTTCTTCAAGAGCCCCTCGATTTGGTTGCTAGATTTTCGGGAAACATAAGATATCACATTGATTGTTTACATCTTAAAAAGCATAACTCAGCTTTTCTTAGGTGCATTGGTAAACACACAAGCTAGAAAAAATGTTGAGAGTGGTATGTGCCTAAATCGCTGTTGCAATGTGTGCAAAAAACTTAAGGATATTGCGAGATTTAAGATTTAACATTGTTGCTTTGATATGGCAGGCTTTAATCAGAAGCATGTTAGCTTTCACAATTCTAGCAAACAGTTCTATTTGCAGACGACTTAGGATTCATCAAGGAAATGGACAAAGATGGAGACGGTCTACTGTCTTTGGACGAGGCTGTGAGGAGTATCACAGAGATAGAAGGACTGGAGGATCCTGATCATCCAGACGCCTTGGCGGAACGAGACAGACATGTGGAGAAGCTTAAAGAAAACTTCAAGAAGTCGGACTCTTGGCATCTCTTGGCATCTCTTGGCTATTGTTTCATCACTCCAGTTAAGCAGACAGAATTTCGAAAATATGTACTGAACAATTAAGGTTTGTACTTCAAACAAACAGTTGCAAAGGATTAGGACGCCTTTGTTCGGAGAGGGCCAGTACAAAATGGTTCTGAGGATGATAACGGTGATGGAAAGCTTACTTTCGAAGAGGCCTTGGTTTTGCTGAAGCACTCTGGCGGCATTGACGTGCTGTGGGTGGAGAATGCATCGTATCATCGGAAAAATGAGCTGTGAAGGAAAGAACCCACACCTGGAGTCAACGGCGTGCCGAGTTTTGCACACTGTTGTCTCTGGTGGTTCACTGATAGGTTGCAGTAGTTGTTGCTAGTTGTCAGTCCAACAGTGACTGACATGCTGCAAGCAGTTGGAATGGCAATGCCCCCCCCAGTTGAGAAAAACACTCATCGGGGGTTGCAAAGCCTGCGAGTAGTTGACTGCTGTCCGGAAACACAGAAGCACAATAAGTGATCTGGGTATGTTTGCCTAGATGTATCTAGCAAGCTAGGCAGCTGTTTGCTCGTTCGCTTGACTGTTTGTTCTTAGACTGTTTGCCTTTTTGCCTATCACTCTTTGTATCAAGTTCCTGCTTGGCATTGTCATAGCGGCAGAGAAGCATCACATGCATCACCACCTCAAAGTTGGCTTGGCATTGCCCGATTTACATTGGTATTCAATTGACTTTTCGGTGGTGGGCAGGCTGAATGCTTTCTTCCAGTCCGTGCACTTTCAAGTTCATGGCCATGGATCACAATGCTTTCCTTGAGATCTCTTGTCTTTTCGGTTGCTTTGCATTCTCCTTAAGGAGTCTGGTTGTCCATCCGTCCTTTTCGCTTCCTCCTTTGGACCCATGGTTCAACCAATTGCGTATTGCTCACCTGTCCAAAAATAAGATGTTGGCGGTATGCTGGATGTTGGACCTTCAGCCAAACTAGTGCTTGTGCTGGGCTGCTTTAAGTAGCCAGACTGCTGCGAAAGCCTTCGGTGTGGGGTTCAAGTTTGCTTGTGCTTACAATTCATCATATTAGCTTCAAGAAGGCCTGAACAAGTGTTTAGTTCAGCTTTCCTAAAAAGCTAGGAACCAAATCATTAGTGCATAAGCTATCCTGCGTCCATGTGTAGTAGCGTTCAAGTAGCTAGTAGCGAACTACTCCCTTACTTACCTTACTTAATTAAGTAGGCGCCTACTTAATTAAGTAAGGAGGAGGGGTTGCCCAGGGTCAAAAAAAAGAAACATCCATGTTGGAGGTCTTTGACTGCTGGTTCGAAAGCGGCTCTATGCCTTATGGATCGAAGCACTACCCATTTGAGGGCAAGGAGGACTTTGGTTTTTGAACCGTGCTAACGAAAGAAAAGATCCTACAAATTAAAGACTCATTAAGGGAGTAATGAGTAACTAAGCAAAAAAGGAAGGTAAGGGTTTAAGGGGAGTTAGTCACTCCCATAGACCTCACAGACAGGTCGACTGCCGCAATTGTTTTGCTTCTCCAAGTCGGCAGGAGTTTGAGAAAAGCTTCCCTGCCCAGTTCATCGCGGAGGGTTTGGATCAAACGCGCGGATGGTTCTACACCCTCATGGCACGCCAGGGCACAAGAGTAAGGAATAGTGTTGCTTTGCACCTGAAGATGACACTCGCAGCCACTTTGTGCCAGGTCCTGGGCACGCATCTGTTTGACAGCCCTCCATTCCAGAACCTTATCGTCAATGGTCTTGTGCTTGCGGTCCTTTGCTTGGAATTTGCGAAAAGATCCATGGATTTGAAGAGAAATGGTCTTGTGTGTAACACAGTGAGACCTTGCAAGGCTGATGGAAAGAAGATGAGCAAACGCCTGAAGAACTATCCCGATCCGCAGGACCTCTTTGACCTGTTGCGACAGCCAATTGCACGTGGCTCACGTGAGTCCCTGAAGAAAAAGAGCTTGTTCTTTGGTTCAAGCCAGCTGAAAGTAGATAGGATCATGAAGCTATCAGCATGCAGGTGCGCAGTCCGCAGGTTGCGAACATTCGTCGTCTAAGTTGAAAACTAGAGTTGATTGTCAAAATAGACAGTGTAGGAATCCCCAGTTTTGACGGAGTGTCCACCATTGTGCGATCTATGGAGTTTATGCGATCTAGTAGCGTCCTTGCTCCTAGTAGCGATGCCAGGAGCCCCTAGTAGCGTTGAACACACTTGCGCAACAAAGAAGCGCATTGTACAATTGTACACCGTGATTAGTAGGCGAGCCTGATGAGGGCTAAGAACTTGCCAAGTTCATCGAGAAGCTGCTTTGATTTAGTGGCCACAACTCCGAGCCATGCGCCGTAGTCGCTGCAGCACCCTGCCAGTTCTGCTGGGCACTTTGGCAGGTTTCAGGTGCCTTTACTAGTTTGCAACTTTCTGAGACCACCTGATAAGATTACTCTAAGGCGAGTACTATACTTGAATTCTTGCACCAGGTGCTTTCTGGTTTTCCCTTCCTCAGAAGAGGCCAAGGCTTGTTTGCTTGTGAATCTGAGTTGGCATGTTGACATTTGGAGAACTGACTGACTTGGACTTGCTGTGAGCAACCTTACTACTAGGAGCAATGTTCGCTACTAGGGGCTCCTGGCATCGCTACTAGGAGCAAGGATGCTACTAGGGGCTCCTGGCCATACTACTAGGAGCAAGAAGCTACTAGGGGCTCCTAACTTGTGCCAGAGATGTTGCTTGAAGGCACATGCCTCAAAGCCAGACCTTCCAAGAAGAGCTTTGGTGCTCCCCCGCTGTGCATCGGAAAATTCATTCAATTGACGGGTTCCTTGCCTGGAATGACTCATAGTATGAAACATGGGACGGGTATGAAACATGTCCAGGCTGCATAGGTCTCACAGATATGACTTTGCAGCCATATGGCAGAATCGATTAGCTTGTTGCAATGGAGACAAAGTGGCACTACTGCGCAGCATTAGGCGGATCAGCTCTGCTTGCTTGGTGGCTGTGGAAAAAGCGAAGGGACCCCTACGGCTTTGACACTGTCGTGGATCGGAGGGGCTTCAATACTGTCAAATATGATTTGTCACCAGTGCTATTTGGGGAAGAAGCTCGAGATTGCCTTCAGCACTGGGTGGCGGACATGGATTTCCCCTGCTGCGAGAAGATCCAAAAGGCACTCGCTAAGCGAATGTCTCATCCTACCTATGGATACACCATTCTGCCTCATGAGGTTTGGAGAATTGTAGGCCAATGGCTCGTGGAGAATCAGAATTGGCCCAGTCCACCAAGTCCCGAATGCTTTGTCTTCTCTGGTACAGTGCTCTCGAGCGTGGGGAGCATTCTACGCACTTTCACTAGTCCGGGAGACAAGGTGAGAAACTCAATATGTGACTCAACAAAAGGGTGTTCCAACAGTATTTTTTACTTCAACAAACCTTCTTTGGCTTGTGTTTGCAGGAGTCTGCAAAAAACAGGCCTGCATGTACTAGTAGACTAGCCATCTACCCGACCTGGAACGTTCGGAACCTGTAAAGCAACGTGCACATTGTGTGTAGTAGCGTCCTTGCTCCTAGTAGTAAGGCCAGGAGCCCCTAGTAGCGTCCTTGCTCCTAGCCCAACTCCAGTCTTCCTTGCAGGTTCTCACCATGGTGCCCTTATATCCACCTTTGCAGACAGTCGTGTCGGCAGCTGGCCGCAGCTTGGTACCGTACCAGCTGCCGATGAGAAAGGACGCGCAAGGTACTTGTCGTTACGAGATGGACGTGGAGGTGGGAATTTGCCCGGATGTTTCTTCTCTTGTGACTTTAGTCAAACAGACTACATAAATTGCAAGTTTGCATACACTTGTTTTGAGAGATTTCTCTGGGTCAAAGCTCTGTCAGGGGCTGAAGAAGGTATTTGATCAAGAGAAGGTGAAGGCCTTGATACTTTGTAGTCCCCACAACCCCGTGGGCCGTGTTTGGACTCGTGAAGAGTTGGAAGCTTTAGCAAAGGCGTGCAAAGAGCGTGATATTTTAGTGATGGTGGATGAAGTTTGGGCCGACTGGTGTTGGAAGCCATTTGTCCCATTTCATCCCATCGCCAAGAGTCTCGGGTGCAGATGCATCAGCCTTGGCTCGCCCACCAAGACCTGGAATCTGGCAGGGCTGCACTGTTCGTATGCCATCATTGACGATGCAGAGATGCTACGGAGTTTCAAGCAGTATGTCGAGCCTCAGTTTTTTACATCACTGCAGTATTTTTGGAGCTGAAGCCATGCGACTGGCATATGGTAGCAAAGAGTGGATGCATGCGGTCAGAGCCTACGTGAATGCAAACTTCATTTACTTGGGAGAGAAGTTGAAAGAAATTCAGGGTATTCAGCTGGCAACTTGACAGTCAAATAGCAACTTGTGGCACTCTGAAGATCCCAAGTTCTTGCTTCCTTTCGTCTTGTAGATTGAACTTGAACCTTTTTCCAAAGACGTTTACGTAGGAATAACTCAGATAGAGCTCATGGGAAGCTTTTTTTGAGCCCCTGAATCAAGGCAGAACATGAGGCTCGTGGGTCGCTGTCGGTTTTCTGTCTTGTTTCTATGGAACGCAACAACATCGTACACCCAAAACCATATCGGTTCTTCTGGCTGCTGCGAGGCCACTTATTTGGCCTGGTTGGACTGCTCTGGCCTTGGCCTTGACAAGAACCAAGTCCACTCATGGTTGATTCAGGCAGGGGCTCAGCACAAGATGGTGGGGCTCGCTTCTTTTTTCACAACAAACGCATAGGGGTCATTGGAATAAAACTTTGGTGAACAGAATCCATTCTGGATGGGTCATGCAGGTAGAGGAACAGTGGCAAGGGATGACACATGCACACACACACACAACCCACACGCACACGCACACGCACACGCACACGCACACGCACACGCATACGCATGCAAAGACCTCGGATTTAGCAACAGGCCTTACCAGCACTAACAGGTAGAACAGTTGTGAAGGTTGTAGGCTCAGGTGTGGACTGCTAGGGAAGTCCTGCAAGTAGGTACCGCAAGATGAAGGGGTTTGTTCAGTAGAGTCACAGCATGTCACAGCTACAATTGATGGAAAGCGTGAACATGTGTGGAACCTGCAATGTTCCAAGGAAGGTTTGGTTCTTTCATCCGGCAGTGATTTTCACCAAGACTGTGGGCACTTCCAGCGGTTGCTTGGTGACATTACATAGCAACTAACTGCACTCACTCGAACATGCAAGTGAGATCAAAACAGTGCCGGAGAAAATACTCTCCTGCAGCCCACTTTTGAGTGATCGTGTTTGTTGTAGGGAGAGTACGAATATGAGATTGTGAGGTAATATCGGAGACTTGCTTCAGCAACTGTCTGCAGCTGAGGATGAATTTGGCTTGCAGCAGGCATGATTTTTCAACATCGTGTGGGCAACAATGAGCCTTCAATTGGTCCTTTTCTGTTAATTTTCCTTTTCTCTAAGAGGTCCATTGGAACGTATCCTGAATTTGAAGTAGAAAAGTACCAAGCTCACTGACTTAATGTCCACAAATGGCAAAGCAATCTGCGGACAGCCTGCAGGCAGAAACTTCAAGAAGCTCTAGAGAGGCTGAAACATGCCGTGGCGAAGATGAAGAGTTGACCTTTCAAAGTTCTGAAGGTTAAACAGCGGAATCTCTCGGACTTCGTCTAAACCTGAATCCTCGAGCAGATGGACAAGGTGCAGAATCTTCAGGCAGTCGGTGCACTTCTCCTTGCTCGGACGAAAAGCTCGAGCTGAGACGTGAGATGTGGTTGTCACAGACAGTTCTTGGCATAGGCAAGTGATCAAGCAGTTTTGAAATTGCTTTGTTTGTGGCTTCTTGGATGTAGCTGCAGCTCTTTGCTCAATTTGAGGTGGAGAGGTAGTCACCAGGTTGTCTTAACTCATGGCTTTGGTTGGCCCTTCCCTGGATCGACTGCAGCTGCGTCATCCGTGGCGTTGTGCTCCGCATGAGCCGCAGGAGAGACCCGGGACTGCCAGACCGCAGAAACCTAGAAGCGATGGCCTCGACCCTAGTAGCGATCCTTGCTCCTAGTAGCGATGCCCTTTGCTCCTAGTAGTAAGGCCAGGAGCCCCTAGTAGCGTCCTTGCTCCTACAACCAATCACCTCCAACCTACAATTTTGAAGACATTTCCCTGCCCATTGACCTTCCCCATGAGCAGAACCAGACGATCATTGGACCCTTCAGACTCAACATTGAATGTATTGACAGTTTGAACCCATCTGAAGGAGCGGTCCTCTTGGCAGCCAGACAAAGCCATTGGTGCTGTGTTGGCTGGTATTGCTGCCACACAGTCACCAGGAAGACCTCGATCTGGTCCTAAAGGTCTTGCAGCAAAGCTAAGCAAAGAGCTTAAAGGCTTCAAGCTGAGCGAAGAGAAAGCCAGGAAGCCAACCAAGGTAAATAAAGAACTTGAAGAGTTTGAGAAACTTCAGAACGAGCAGTTGACGAATTCCGTGCCAGAAGGCGCCGACAAGTCTCAAAGTGAATTGGACAACTCCAAGCTGAAAGAATCATGGCAATGGCTGCGGAGTAAAGCCCACAAAGCTGCAAGGCAGGCTTCTACCGTCCGGCAACATGCTTCTGTTTTGTTTTCCAAAGTGCAACAGAACTCTCAAAAAGTCCAGCCGGTGAAGCGGGCAAAATCCGCTTGGCGAGTGATTCGAGAATCTTGGTCTGGCACAAAACCTCGGCAGCAGCTCTTGACTTTTGTACTTGCAGTGCTTCTCTTGATTGCTGTGTGGCCTTCTCGATCAATACCACAAGTTTCTGGTAGTCCAGAACAACGAATGTTGCAGCTCCTGCCTGAGGAGGAAGCACGTTTGCAAATGTTGAATGATGCTACACCAGGTGTGGTGTATGTGAAAGGAAAACCGGCTTTGTGGATCTCAGAGAAGGAAGAGCAAGGAGCATTCGTCCCCGGTGGCACTGCTTGGATCTTTGACAATCGTCATGTGGTTACGAGTTTGAGCAACATCGACCAGGCAAGGCGTGGCTCTTTGAAGGTTGTCTTACCAGATCGTAGCGAAGTGCCTGCCCGGGTTCTGGGAGTGGATGAAGGGAGTGATTTGGCGGTCTTGGAGTTGCCTGCAAAGATAGCGCTACGTGATGCACTTCCTTTGGGGTCTTCTGCAGCCTTGAGGCTTGGGCAAGATGTGATACTCATAGGTCGTGAAGCCACACTGGACATGAGGATCTCCAAAGGAGTTGTCTATGGACTGGGACAACCGCTAGCTCTATCTGATCAGCCAGATGGTCATCCAGTTCAAAGTTGCATTCAAACAGATGTGTTGATGAACCCCATAAATCGAGGAGGAGCACTTCTCAATAGCCGTGGGCAGGTCATTGGAATGGCAGTGGGGCCAACGGATGAAGGCTCAGTTGGCCAGGCCATACCTGCCGACAGTCTTCGAAAGCACATAGACAGCATCATCTCCAATGGCCATGTTACGAGACCTTCTCTAGGAATGTACTTGGCGCCAGATGGCTTTGCTGAGAAGCTGGGTGTGGGTGGTGGAGGAGTTGTTGTCCAGGAAGTCATACCTGGTTCTGCTGCCAAAAAGGCAGGTCTGAAAGCAGGTGACATTATCATTGCCCAAGGCGATCATGCTGTTCATCGCATGGATGACCTCATTACAGTCCTGGAACCCTTCAGTCCTGGAGATCATTTCTCGCTGACAGTCCTACGCCAGACAGCAGGGGAAGGCATTTTCGCTCCTTTCTCTCCTCAGGTGTATTCGAAATTGGACCTCACGGTGAAAGCGGTAGCGTCAGGTGGCATTTGAAAAGAGAAGTGCCTCATAGGACCATGGGATTCAAGACAATGCCAACGCATTCTGAGTAGAAGTCTCAAAAGCAACCGCAGCAGTTTGCCTGGTGTTGGGGGTACTGACAGAAACGACCTGTGACTTTCACTGGAAAATTGTACATGTTTGTTCGTCAGTTCCAAGAAGCCCAAAAGGAATGACATTTGTGCCATCGCAGGTAGCTGCGTCGGCTTCACTCTTGCCATGGCCTGCACAAGCTAAGCCTGAGGACAAGGCGACGATCAAGAAAGCGGCAGAAACGATGCATCAGCTGCAGGAGTGAGTGCTGATGAATTTTCAGCTTTGGTATTTAACGAGTCTCGAGACCTTTGCAACCTTAAAGAACTTGTGCGATCTCTTGTCCTCTCAGATATGACTCAAGTGATTGTCAGGATCGGTGGACTCAGCTAGCTAGCAAAGGTGCAGAGGGTGCTAAAGAAATCCTGGAGGCGGGTTTCGCCGCGAAGAGTCCAAAAGCGGAAGTGGGAGTGAAGTGGCTTGAGGTAGGTTGGCAGTTTCGTTGCCATTGGGATTTCTTGAGTAGAGACTAGGATATCAAACATACTGTTTGAACTGAGGCCTTTAGCGGAGTCTCATACTCCAGCTTCACGATCAAAGTCCCTCCTGGTCAATCTGTGGGTGTTGACATCGAGGAGACAAAGCGGTCAAGCTGCCGATGCGACGCAGTGCGATGCGGTGCGCTAGGACCGCACGATCACCTCTGTGAACACCAGGAAGTTGGGATGGAGTGTTGGTGATAAGCCGAGCTTCCGAACTGCCAGTCTCCATTGCTTGTGACACATCGTGTTTGCCACGAAGTTGTTCAAACATGTTCAAACCTAGAGGACCAATAGTAGCATGAAGTACACATCCAAATTTTCGATGCTAAGGTGACACGATCCAGGAGATTAATGGCCAGGAGGCCAAGGCGATGCCGGCAAAGCCCGAAATGTGATTGTTGGACGAAGAAGAGGGAAGTCTGCAGACAGAAGAAACTAATGGAAGCGTGCTCCCATGATTCGCATTCTTTAAATGCTACCTTTTGAAGGATGAGGAGACTGTCGTCAATTATGTGAAGACAGCCAAGCAAGAGGCTGCACGATGTGATGATGGCAGAGTTGCTTTTAGATGTTTTGGCGTTTAAAGAAGGCATGCGAGTGGGATGATTTGCTGAAATCTGGGACATGTCATGGCATTTTTGTGACGTTTCAGGGCAAAGAGCTTGTCTTCAAGGTGCAGCGCCTCTCAGAATCTCCTTGGGTGAGTCTTGAAAGGTAGGCGCCCCAGATCGTTGTTTGAGCTCAAACCGAGACATCACAGCGTTGTTCTTATTTTTTCACCTCTTTTCCATAGCATTGCAAAAACAGCATGTGCAGTGGTGGAAACCTGGTGGTACTTAGGGCCCTGACAAATGCCTATGCGTGGCACTGGCATTGTCAACTTGCAAGATGCAAAAGAGACGAGAAGTGAGGGAAGGGAAGGAAGAAGAGTCCGAAAGAAAGACAGGAATAAAGAGAAGTTGAGGAACCCAGGCTATTTATGTTCTCGTTTGGTCGGGACTTGCTTTGGCGGCCAGGGACGTCGATGCAGAGGTCGTTTTGCCTGAACCGGACCAGGCGCAGCTTCTTTGTCGAAGCTGGAAGCTTGTTGGATGTTTTCGAAGACATTTGACACACTTGTGGACTTGACTCTCCCAAAGTATAGATTACACGTGAAACACCAGCTGGTGACTACAACTACAGATCTTCAGAGAGGTTTCGCCTTTTCGTTGAAAAACTGAGATTCAAACAAGGGGCGAATCTCGTCCAGCCTTGCAGGTAAGTGACATGTTCAGGGACCTGAAGAACAATGTGAATCTTGCAAAGGACGAGATTCTAAACAATCAGAGATACTGTGAAGCACCATTGCCAACTGCTGTATATATATTATATAATATATATATATATATTATATAGACCAGTCAACAAAACTTTTAAACCCCAACAAGTTTGCTTTCCAGCTTTGCTGATTTGGTTGGTTGAAACGCAGCACCAGGATGAGATCATCGAGATGGCTGTGGTGAAGGTCTAGAGTCAAGAGTCTACAGATTTCTAGTGCATATCACGGAGTTTCCACCAGTGGACCATCGATTTGAGGTAAACAACACATCCATGGGTGTGTACGGGAAAAAGATACTTTTTCATTTTTCAAGGGGTTTCCTAAAAAAAGAAAAGGAATGAACGGAAAAAAAGGCCGCTTTGAACCGCTTTGAACAACTTTGAATCGCTTGTTCTTGTGCTTTTCTTGTCGAACCACTTTGCTGTCAGGACAAGCTGGATGCCTTCACTAAAGCACTTGATCAATTCGCCACCAGTTGAGTGGCCCGAATCTGGCAAGATGGCAAATGGTTTACCCAAAAGGCCCAAAAGGTAAGATCGCTCAAACGAGCTTAGGAGTGGTAAGGACTTCAACGTGACATTTGCCGGATTCCATTTTTTCAGCTTATACGCTGAGATTGCCATTTTTCACAGAGTTGACCCTGTCTTCTGGCGAGCTCAAAAAGGGATGACCGAAGGTTGAAGAAGTAGGCTTGGACGGTGCACAGCATTTGAAAAGAATGGCTGAAGCTTCCAAGTGTGATGGAAGTGCCATGTGAGGAAGTCGTGGAGCGCCATGGAGCTGACGCAGCACCCTGGCATCACTCGAAGCGTTTCCTCTGGACATTTTCTTCATTTGTTTCATTATTTGTTTCATTTTTTGATTTGCAAAAACTATTCAAGTAATACACTTCTGTGGAAGAAAGACACCTGGTGGCTCTTGCAGAGATGATATGCAACATTCCCATGCGCGTCTTTTGAGGTTCGCATGTACATGTTGAACTCCGGCGTTGTACGAGCAGAGCCGCTGAAATTCAAGGCAGACCTTTAAGTGATAAACTTACACAAGTAGTAGCTTCTTGTTCCTAATAGCGATGCCCTTTGCTCCTAGTAGCGTCCTTGCTCCTAGTAGTAAGGCCAGGAGCCCCTAGTAGCTTCTTGTTCCTACATGATCATGTTTAACTGTACACAGTATCACTTGACATCGATGAGATGGAAAGATCATGGATTGACCTGGCTGCAGGAAGAAGGTGTCCGAGACGTTGTTAAGGCCTGTAGGGAGGTGACCTGACCACACCGATGTAGCTGGTGCATGCAGTTTTCAGAAGCTGACCTTGGAGATTGATTGACAAAAAGAGATCGGTAATGACCTTGCCGAAGCAGTTCTTTGGCGAGTGCTTTGACCTCAGGATGTCTTCTTGCCTTGGTACAACGCTTATCGCTTCCTGGTCCAGGAAATGTGCAGCACATGTTCTCGAAACTGACTTGGCCAAGAATTATGTATGAAGTGGGAAAGAGAGTTGGTGAGCCATTTCTCATATTCGCATGCCAGGAGAGTTTCAGATATGAAGCGGACGGGAAGAAGTTTCTGTCCCTTGAATATCAGTGTGTGTCAAAGTGATGAAACATATTTTATGTTTTCGTTGCTCTTGGTTGGTGATGAGAAAAGCTTCTGGTTGGGTCTGATGCTGCAACGCAAGGCCAGATGCTTCCAAAGTCAAGGCCTGTCCTCGGAGCTTGAGAAGAAGTACAAAACAAAAACAACAAAACCTCTTGATGAGAGCTGATACTCCGCATACGTCCTTTGTCAGGCGTCGTCAAACAAAATGGACCAATGGATCTTTGCATCCATGCATGAGCTGATCCGCTTTGTTCGTGAGGAGCAAATATGGGCCTTAGAGATCCTTTCGGTTGGAGGCCATCGCTATTAGGTTGGAGGCCATGGCCATTAGGAACAAGAAGCTATTAGGGGCTCCTGGCCTTACTACTAGGAGCAAGAAGCTACTGGGGGCTCCTGGCATCGCTACTAGGAGCAAGGACGCTATTAGGTTCCCTTTAGGTTGGAGGCCATCGCCGGTTCCCTTTCCATCAGATCCTTTAGGATCCTTTTGAAATACCGACTCTACACGGTCAGAAAGTGAGGAGATGGAGGCCTACCGACTCTACACAGTCGTGCCTCGGTTGGTGTCCCACACTCAGGGCACTCCGTCTTACAATGTGGGGTCGGTGATGTTTACTGTGTCAGGAATTTCTTGGATGACCTCACAAACTGGTGACCATCGTGCAGTTGCGGCTTCGCTTTGGATTTTTTTGAGCCTGGACCTCTTTGAGCATGGCTTCCAAAGAACTGGGGCGAAGGGGGGGCACACTGATCACATCACAACGTGTCATAATTTGCCATACTCGACCGCATTTTGGGCTTAGCAGCTGGATTCAAAGTTGAAGACAAAGTTGATCCCACAGAGTTGATGTAAATTGATGCTAGGAGCGATCGGACACTACGTTCGGAGCAAAGGGCATCGCTACTAGGAGCAAGGACGCTACTAGGGGCTCCTGGCCTTACTACTAGGAGCAATGTTCGCTACTAGGAGCTACTCAAACTTTCCTATAGAATCTTTCCTTATTAGATCAGCCATGGAAGCCGAGACAGCGAGCCCTACAGTGCGATTGTTTAATGCTCTTTTGGTGACCATGCTGGCCATTCTGACAGGCTTGTTTTGTGTTCGGTTGCGTTTGATACGACCGGACGAAGGTGACTTGAAGGGAATGGGATTTTTCATTGGTTCCATTGCCTTCCCACTCTTGATTTTCAATACAGTGGCAACTGCCAACATCGGTGCTATTGACTTTGGAGTCATCGCAGCGTGTAGTCTTGGAAAAATCGCTGTCATGTCTCTTACATGGTTGCTGGCGTTTGTTGCCTATCTTCCACACAGATCAGTAGGTCAAAGAATATTGACAGCCGCTGTCTTTGCCTTTTTCGCGGTCGCATCAGACGATTTTGCAATCGGCTTCCCAGTAATTGACGCACTGTACGGAGATGAGGTAGATATGAGCATCTATATAACAGGAAATGCTCTGGTTGGTTCATTCCTGTTTGTGCCGATCACAATCATAGCCTTT